ATTTTCCGATTTCAATTATGACGGCTTATTTGGTATTTTACAGCGCACGCATATGGTTCGCCTGGCGTATGGTATGCGCTTGTGCTTTTCTGGCCTGGCCTGGCCTTTCCGACTTTATTTACGGATAGGAATTACAATAGGATTATTTGCAATGCATTATTTTACTATCCCTGTAAAAAAAAAACTCTATATTAACTTCTTCTTTTTAAATTTTCCTTAAAATCACCTCATCAATTTTCATATTCAAACCTTCATGACACACTGTCAGTGTCTGAGAAATGAATTGCATGCTTATCCTATGCATCTCCCTTTCTTGTATGTTTTATAGCCAACAGAGGCAGCCCTAGACCAGGGCGACTAAGGCTATAGCCTAGGGCCCAAAGCTGAGAAGGGCACACAAATTTTGTTTATAGCCCATATATGTATATTTATAAAATTTAAAAAATAATAATAATAAAGGAACCAAACTTCAAAACTAGAATGAGCCGTTCTGATATGTTGTGGTGTCATAAATCACTTTTCCTTACTTGGAAAATAAAGTCAAATATATTTTATATATTATATAATATAATAAAAGAAAAACATAACATTGGGAAATTAAACAAAGATAAACCAACATGCCTTCTTCTTCTTTTTCTTTTTTAATCAAAATGCAAAAAGTCTCTCAAAAACAACACAAGAAGACTCTCAAATGCAAGCAAATTTTTATTTTTATTTTTTGTGACTCTCTTCTTCTCCAACACTGAGTTGGAAAATAATCCTTCACAAGACCAGACCAGTGCCTTTCTTTCAAGGTTTTTTTTTTATCTATCAAATCTTTCAAGGTTCTTCCTTTGAATAAATATTTTGTTAAAAGGACCAATGCTTCACTTGAAAATTTACCAAATGCATCTAAGCAATGTTTAATTTTGATAAAAATTGTAATTTTAGTGTTTAATTTGTCTAAAAGGGCACACTTTTCGAAATTTGCCCAGGGCCTTAGAAAACCCTGGATCGGCTCCAAGACCATCTCCAACCCAAGGACCTAAACCCAAAATATCCCCCAAAACCTCTCCCAACCCAACAAAATGAATTACTCAAAATTTGGGAAAACCCAAATTTTGACCCAAATACCAGTCCACTTATTGCATGGACCTAAAAAAAATTGTGGAGCCCACCTGCTGCATCAGCAACTCATGTGCAAGCTCTCTTTACTCGGGCCCGCCACACAGCCCATGTGGAAGATGCTGCCTTTGTCTTGTAGTGATTTTATTTGTATATTTTTTAAATTTTTTTTAATTCTAATATTAACTTAAATCAACGATATATATATATATATATATTAAATCAAAGCTATTTTAACGGTTAAAAAAAAAATCCAATGGTTGAAATTTAAATCCAAAGATCAAAATAATATTTGAACTTAATCTAAATTAGATCCAACCCCCAACACTCACCCCAAACTCTATAAATACCCACTCATTTATCAAATAATCTACAAAAAAAATTATAATTTTAGAATTTCAATTTTTTTAGGTTAAATTGTTCAAAAAATTAAATTATAAAGTTATTTAAAAAAGATTAAATGAAGAAAAGTTATCCATAAAAAAAAAATTAGACTTAAATCATTCTTAAACAATTTAATAAAATTGCGGACTTAAAATTTGAGTCCGGAGGGTTGGGAGAAAAAACGATTTGAGTCTGGGTAAAATTCAAATAGTCACTTTTTGGAGAGGAAAAATTTGGGTTTAGCCCCTCATGAGTTGGAGATGGTCTAAGGCCATCCCCAATGGGGGCTCAACCACCACAAGGCTCCAATATATACAAACCCTCTTTAAAAAGGCATCCCCAATGGTGCAAATTTGGGGCTCTAAAACTTAAAGCCCAGCCAGAGTAGTAGCTAAATGTATGACCTTGGTTGAAGCCCCTGAAACCGAGTGGGACCCACCAATTGAAAAAGCTGCAGCCCACTTTTGTGTTATTTCTCACTTGCCTGCGACTGTACAAGGCATACTTACCTTCAATTTGATTGTTGATTTGCTGCTGGCCCACGTTCTTTGCATGTTGGCCCATATAAAACAAATTTGCAAAGTTGATTGTTGATTTGCATGCTGGCCCACGTTCTTTGCAAGGGATCGATATCCAACTTTGGGATGACCATTGTATCTATGAAATAAATGTTGATTTCCAAAGCTTGTCCAAATTTTGATTTTTTTTGGTTGAAATGTTCACAAAAAAAAACTAACATAACATGAATAAACATTAAAGTAAAATAGTTAACAAAAAAAAAAAAACCATGTAAATCAAATTACATCATAAAAAAAATATAGAGCCCCCCATTGTGGGAGAGATTCCTTTAGAGCCCCAAAAATTTCATCGGAGCTCTAAATGGGGCTCTATAAACCCTTTTTAGAGCACCAACCATTGGGATGGCCTAATAGCCAAATTGGAGGCTATTGACTTGACCCGCAATTTAATCATCAATCAGTATTTGAAGAAGATAGTGAAGACACCACTATACTTGGTTGACGGAGCATATACTTGGTTGACGGAGCATGTAGTCGAGGGACTCCAACAATCTTAAAATTGATTTAAGAGAGGCTCGTAAGGTAGTCTTTCAATAGCTGAATAAAACAAGGGCAAAATATGACTCAACAAATAAAATTTAATTGCAAAGATAAATATCCTTAGCCACTTAAATTACAAGCTCTTGGCATATATATTTGATATTAGAATTTGTAATAATTTGACACCATAAGAATATTGGTTTAGTCCCGATTTTTTGTTTATAATTAAACACTCATTATTAATGATATTTGAACTCATGATTGATGATATCTGAACTCGTGAGACTACCTGTACTAATCAATTGAATAATGTTACTCTTACAACACTTATATATCACATTCTCATATCACCTTATATAATAGATAAAGTAAATAGTCATATCAATTAAAAAGTATCAATAAATCATAAAAGAAAGAAAATATTAAATTAATTTTAATTGATGTGGTTGTCTATCTCAAGAGTAGCATTATTATAACCTTAAACGAAATATGATTATGCTGATTTGCTAGATTAACTCAACAGAATTAAATATTAGGCATAAAAATCAAATCAAAGATTATAAAATTTTAAAAAACGTTAGAAATTTGGCACCCCTTCTGAGTCTGACTATCGTGCTGTGGGTCCCTCACCGACAACTCAGCTGGCGCCCTTCTACTAGCCACCCCCACAGTAAAACCGCTAAAAGCGCGTTCCTGTCCAACCAACCAAGCCACCAGACTTAGATCCCTCCCTCCTTCCCTCCCTCTTAAAATCTCTCAAAACCACTACACCCTCCTCTGCACAATCTCACTCCTACTCTCACTCCTCTCTCATTTCTCCTCACAAACCCGACACGACAATGGCGTCCGAGACCGACACCACCAGATCCGGATCCACCCCCAACGGCTCCGCCCCGGATCCGCCGGAACCCCGCAAGGTCGCGCTCATCACCGGCATCACCGGCCAGGACGGCTCCTACCTCACCGAATTCCTCCTCAACAAAGGCTACGACGTCCACGGCCTGATCCGACGGTCCTCCAATTTCAACACCCAGCGCATCAACCACATCTACATCGACCCCCACAACGCCCACAAGGCCCGCATGAAGCTCCACTACGCCGACCTCACCGATGCGTCGTCGCTCCGCCGTTGGATCGACACCATCGCCCCCAACGAGGTCTACAACCTCGCCGCCCAATCGCACGTCGCCGTTTCGTTCGAGATCCCCGATTACACTGCTGACGTCGTCGCCACCGGCGCCCTCCGCCTTCTCGAGGCCGTCCGCTCCCACATCGCCGCTACCGGACGCACAGACATTAAATACTACCAGGCCGGGTCGTCGGAGATGTTCGGGGCGACCCCGCCTCCGCAATCGGAGACGACGCCGTTTCACCCCCGATCCCCCTACGCTGTTTCTAAATGCGCGGCGCATTGGTACACGGTCAACTATCGCGAGGCCTACGGGCTGTTCGCGTGTAATGGGATACTGTTCAACCACGAGTCGCCGAAGAGGGGGGAGAATTTCGTGACCCGGAAGATCACTCGGGCCGTGGGTCGGATCAAGGTCGGGTTGCAGAGCAAGTTGTTCTTGGGGAATTTGCAGGCGTCGAGGGATTGGGGTTTTGCCGGTGACTACGTGGAGGCGATGTGGATGATGCTGCAGCAGGAGAAGCCCGACGACTACGTGGTGGCGACGGAGGAGTCGCATACGGTGGAGGAGTTCTTGGAGGCGTCGTTTGGGTATGTGGGGTTGAATTGGAGGGACCATGTGCTGATTGACAAGAGGTACTTGCGGCCATCAGAGGTCGATAATCTAAAAGGGGATGCTACAAAGGCTAAGAAGGAGCTTGGGTGGAAGCCCAAGGTTGGGTTTCAGCAGCTGGTGAAGATGATGGTGGATGAAGACGTTGAATTGGCCAAGAGGGAGAAGGTTCTTGTTGATGCTGGGTACATGGATGCTCAGCAACAACCTTGATTTCTCTGGTCTCAATTTGGGTTGAAGTTTATATAATGTGGCTTAGTTGAATGGTTTTCTAGAGGTGATACAGTTTGTTAATGGTTCCAGTAATTTATTGTTCAATGTTCTCTGTTCTGAGGGTTGTTTATTTTATATTTTTCTGTAACTTCATTCATTCAATTTCAGCAATTCTATACTTGAACTATTGTTGCAGTTTATGTTTTTGTTCATTTTTTCTGCTCTGGAGCTTGACAGTTTTGAACAGTGAAGCTCTCTGGGATCTGCTGGATCTGATACCTCTCATTTGACAATAATTTGATTCAGTAATTCACTAAAACAAGTTCATTTTGTATAAAGTTTTATGTCGGTGATGGTAGTTGCTCACGTGGATTGTTTCTTGGTTTATTGGTTATAAGCCAAGAAAGATGGGAACACTAAAAAACATAAAATTAAAGTGTGTTGTATAGTGGGACTCGTCTTGTTCCTACCCTGTCTCTTTACATTTGTATTTTCAGTATGGGAGGGCCGAGAGCCAACAGGAACACTTTTGTTACCATTGAAAATGTTAATAAATCACAATCAACAAAGGTTTTGTACAGGAAAGAAAGGATGCTAAGTCAGTCTAACTTGGTTTCGGCAGAAGGTAGACTTCTGTTTAGATCTCTTTGCAGATCAGATGAGCTTGATTGAATTTCTTGGTCGGCAGTGCCGACTGCAAATGGCTTGATAGATGACCGAAGGGATTCTGGTCCTTCCATCGATATTCTCCGGCACAGTGCATCACAGTTACTAATTACCTCTGTCAGCCTTCCTTTAAGCTCCCCAATCTCCACCTGCAATGCATGAACTGCATGCACATTCCAAGATAAAGTTAGAATAAATTAGGTCATAAGAAGGTATACAGGCAAGAGCAGGTTTTGATGTGAAAATTATAATGGACACATGCTGTACAACTAATTTCACCATACTCTAGGTCCATCCAGACATTAGGTAGAACATATATCAATTACCTTCAGATAAATGTTGCGAAGACGTCTTCATTGCTGACACTGAATAATTAAAACGTTGAAGAAGTTTAACAGTCAAAGCATCAGCTACCTCTATCTTATCTTCTATGTCTTCCTGCAACAATTATCAACAAATCAAGGTTACGTAGTTCCGGATGAGGAGAAAGGATGGAAAAACAAGTCAATGTTCCTAATTTGCTGCCAGCCTTTCACAAAATTCAGCATGAGCAACACAGGCTTCTTAAAAGCAAGGGCAAACACATAAATTGTTCCAAACATAAAACTTTCTGATTTGCAAGACATAACAACAACAGCGTGCAATTATGTTGGATTTTCACCAACTTCATACCACTGGCTAATACTGCACAGAGAGCTATACTTGAATTTCATGGAAACATCTTCGTTAAGGCAGTCGTTAACTGATATCATACAAAACTGTTGATCCCTTTAATTCTGTGATATTATTTCATCCACTATAACATCAAATGAACCAAGTCTCAGACAAGATCCAATTACATAAGTAACCTCACATATTTCTTTGTTCCGTGGTGATCCAAATAGAAGGCCTGAAGTTGGCCGGATGGAAGATGCATAAGGACAGGCCAAAGATCAATCTACTGCCTTTGAAAATATGATTCATCACAATGTCTTTGGGAAATAGGAAGAATACCCTAAACCCTGAATCGAGTTCTAATTTTCTCCCTACATTTTAAAATCATTCAATGTCTCCTCAACTTTGAGGTTGTGTGAAGTAACCCCTCCGGCCATCAAAAACTAACGGCTAGTGCCCGTGTGGACCATAAAGAACTTAGAGTTATGTCAAAAAAAACTCAAAATTCAACAAGGAATATTGTATCTTGTTAAAACAAACCTGTCTTTTGCTCATCTTTTGCACCTTCTCTTCCTGCCAATCACGGTACATCGAGAAGAGTTCCAATAGCACTTTTGGGTTCACAATACCTGCAGTGTCAATTCATAACAGAGTACTGAATTCCACTTCGAAAGGCAACATGTATCAGTATCAATGTTGCAAAGAAAAAGACACAACATCTACAAAATTACAACCATTATACTTATAGATGCAGAAATGAAAATTCTGACGCAGACACAATGCACAGACCACAGGGACTTAGCTAGTTCAATTGCTTTGTAAGAACTTAATTTTGGGTTTTTGCTTCTATTCTTTTCTTTTTTGCATCAAAACCGAAAATTATAAAACACTGAAGCAGCTTACTTGAAACAGAAGACGACGAAGGTTTCCTCACTAAAATGTCAGTCAAGCTACCCTCAGCTGGGGGTGAAGTCAGTATCGGCGTCGACTACAATGAAACAACTCAAAACGTGAATTCAAGTGTCGTTTAAAAAATCCAAACACCGATGAACTTAAACCCTAACTATTTGTTTTTTCTTCCTAAATTAATGATAATTTGATAATAGGAAATTGTACACTTACAATTTTGAGGGATTTGAGCTTTTCTAAGACGGGATCGGCGACTTCTGACCGCTCAGACACGGTGGTGATTTCATCGCCTGGCCTCTTCAACCATAATTAAATTAAATTGATACTGTAAATGAAATTGAATTCAAAAGAAAAAAGAAAATTAGAAGTTGATTAAAACGCAGAGCCACCTGTGAGCTTGAGAGTGTGGATTCTGACGAACCCATCGCTTCGCTGCTGCTTGTAACGAACAAAACCCACCGTTTCAGTGGCGCTGCTGAGAAATGAAGCGGTCTTAACTGACTGTTCTACACTTTTCGACGACACAATGTTCGCGCGCGTGTACGGAAACCGCGCCGAATTAGATTTGGTATTTTATCTATATTTTTCCTTCCCATATTTTTTATGAATTATAACACACGTGTCACATAGGTTGAAATAACAAAGTTGAGGGGATAAAAAATTGAAATTAGTAACAATTTATTTTCGCGAACTTTTCTTTAGCGCGTAGCTGCCTATAAACACCTCGACGGAAGCTTATTTGCTTCACAAAACTGAAAACTCCACCGCGCTCCGCCATTTCACAGTCAAATTCCCAAGCCCTAACTCCGTTTCTCTTGGTTGCTTAGGGTTTCTATCCGCTGCGTATAGTCAGCATGAGAACTCGCAATGCGGACACTCCGAAATCGGCGGCAGGCAAGAAAACGCCGCCGGCGAGGAAAACTGCCGCTAAAGCACAACCCGCGGCTTCTCAGTTGGACTTAGAAGTGGCCCCTCCTAAAACTGTCGAGACGAAACGCGTCTCTGCTGCTGACAGAGCTAAGCAGGTCAAGAAGACGGAGACTGCACCCCCTACTGCTTCAAACTCTCAAAAATCATCAGGTAGCTATTGAATTAGTTATCTGTTGATTTGTTTCGAACTTCTAATAATTTGTTTGATTGAGTTAGGGTTTAGCCTCTGAAGTTATGACTGCTGCTGCATATAGAAAATGAAATTTGGTACTTAGTGAAATTAAGAACAGTACAGGTACTGGAGTGTAGATATCATATACCTTTATTACCAATTAAGTTGAAGATGTTGTGAATAAGTCAGTTTTGAATCGATATGCTTGATTTTTTTTATTGATGGCATGGTGTTTGTTAGTTATTCACTTTTTTTTTTTTGTTTAAATTTTTACCTGTGGGTTACTCGTAGTTGAGGAGGCTGAGGCATCAGCTGGTACTGCCAAGGTGACACCAGCCGCTAAAGTTGGTGTAGTGAAGAAATTAGTTGCGAAAAAATCGCCTGGGAAAGCTAATACACCGGCATCAGCTAAATCTGTTTCATCACATACACGGAAATCGGGGGGTTCGGTGAAGGCAAAAGTAGATGCGTTAAACAAGGAGAAAGTGGCAGATATCAAGGATGTGGAGTTCACAAAGAAGAATCCCATTTTTGAGAATGATGGAAAGTCTGAAAAGGAGGAAAGCCATGTGGAATTTGAAGTATGCACTGTTGAGAATGTCGGAGAGCCTTCAAGGAAGGAAGAATCAGCTGTTGGAGGTCAAGAACCAGCTGTTGAGAATGTTGAACAGCCAACACACAAACAAAGCGCCAAGGAAGTAGAACCAGATCCTAATGAAAATGAAGAGGATCCTATTGAGGAAGAGGATCCTGTTGAGGAGGAGGATCCTGTTGAGGAGGTGGATCCTATCAAGGAAGATGATCCAGTTGAGGCAGAAAAGTCTGTTGTTGGGGAGGTTGGAAAGTCTTCTGAGAATGAACCATATTGTGATGTAAAAGAGGGAGTGGCAGTGAAAGGAGATCAGGAGGAGCCAATGGATAATGGTGATGAAGAGGAGACCCGTGTTGAGGCTGATAACAAGGTAGAAAATGTCAAAGAGGGGTTACAAGGAGAAGATATTGAGGGTGTAAAAGACGTGTATGATGGTGATGAGCAGATGGACGAGTATGGTGAGAAAGTGGATCTTGGAGAACATGGAGAGGAGGAACTTCCAGAGGATGATGCAGAGGATCCTGCAGAAGAAACTGAGACATTGGAGGATAAACAATTAACAGCCATTGCAAATGAGCGCAAGATGAAGAAAGAACGAGAAATTTTTCTTGGGGGGCTTGATCGGGATGCTGTGGAGGAAGATGTGAGAAGGGTCTTTGAGAGGATTGGAGGGATAGTTGAAGTTAGGTTACACAAGAATACTTCAACTAATAAGAACAAGGGTTATGCATTTGTGGAGTTCGAAAATAAGGAGCTTGCAAGGCGTGCTTTGTCTGAAATGAAAAACCCTGTTGTATGGATTTTTCATTGTCTTTCCTGTTTCATATTCTTATAATCTTCATTCTAATTAACCATTCTGCAGATTCGAGGGAAGCGATGTGGGACAGCACCGAGTGAGGACAACGACACATTGTTCTTGGGTAATATCTGCAATACATGGACAAAGGAAGCTGTAAGTGTCATTCAGTACTAATTTAGATAACCAGATAAGTAAAAAGGTAACAGAAAGGGATAAAGTTATAAGTATCTTTAAATTTGTATATATGCTTCTCAGGATTGTTCACTCTTTCCTTTATCATAATATGGGATGACAGATTAAACAAAAATTGAAGGATTATGGTGTTGAAGGTGTTGAGAACATAAATCTTGTCCCTGATGTTCAACATGATGGGTTGAGCCGAGGTTTTGCATTTGTTGAATTCTCTTGTCATGGTGATGCTATGCTTGCATACAAGAGGCTTCAACAGCCCGATGCTATATTTGGTCACCTTGAAAGAACAGCCAAAGTGGCTTTTGCCGAACCTCTACGTGAGCCTGACCCAGAGATCATGTCCCAAGTGAAGTCGGTATTTGTGGATGGCCTGCCACCTCATTGGGATGAGGACCAGGTTAGGGAGCAATTTAAATGCTATGGAGAAATCTTACGCATTGTTCTGGCCCGGAATATGTCTACAGCCAAGCGGAAAGATTTTGGATTTGTTGATTTCTCAACCCATGACTCTGCTGTGGCCTGTGTTGATGGTATAAATAATATAGAACTGGCAGATGGAAACTCAAAGGTATTCTTGTGTTTTTCTCTTTTGTATCTTCTCTATCTCTCTCTCTCTCTCTCTCTCTCTCTCTCTCTGGAAACATGATCTCTCTCTCTCTGGAAACAAGTGATTAGGTTATGTGACACATTGGAAAAAAATAAACATTGATTTTTTAAGCTGGACTAGGCAAGGATAGGGATGTTCTTTAACTGCTTTACATAGATGCATGAATTCTTGTATACACATAGACGTGCATACCTTCCTACATGCATACACACACGCAAGAGATGAGTTTTTACTAGTTCCTGTTCTGATTGGCCATTGTTTTCTTCAGATGTGATTGCATGTACTGCATGGCACAGAATTATTAGTTGAATAACATACTTTCATTACCTGTTTTAATTTGGTACTTACTTATGTTGGTTTTTGTAATTCTAGTTAAAAGTGAAAGCAAGACTTTCAAATCCTTTGCCTAAAACTCAGGCTGTGAAGGGTGGAATGGCCGGTGGATTTCGAATTGGTGGTGATGGTGGTGGTGGTGGTAGTGGTATCTTTCCAAGATTCGGTAAGATATATGTTTATTTGTTTGGTTGAAGATTCATTTTGCTTTGCACATCATTTTCTTGTTCTTACTCTATATTGCTCACAGGGAGGGGTTTTGGTCGTGGTGGACATCATTTCAACCGTGCAAATTTCCAACGTGACAGACATTTCTATCCTGGTGGACAAGGTCTAACTGGCAGTGTGGGTTTCCCAAATGAATATGACTTCGATTACCCATATGATGAGTTTCATGGACGAGGTTTCTATTGTGCTTATAATCATGTCTTGTAGTTTTTCAACTCCTACCCCCCCCAAAAAAAGTATCTTACTGATTTTGTTATGTTTCTCAGGGGGAAGAAGGGGCCCTTTCATGGGTGGTCATTATCCATCTGCTGGAGGTTCATCATCAAGACCCTACATAGATGGACCCTGGCATGGTGCCCCTGATAGAGGCTATGGTATGCATGTTCCTCCTAGAAGGCATCCATATTCTCCAGGACATTTTGACAGACTGCCAATGGGGGGTCATTTTGACAGACCGCCAATGGGGGGTCATTTTGATAGACCGCCAATGGGGGGTCATTTTGACAGACCGCCAATGGGGGGTCATTTTGATGAACCTCATTTTTATGATGATAACACACAAGGAATAAAACGTCCATTTCATATGAGAGTAAGCTTCCCTTGATAACATTTTGTTGTTATCTAAGCCTTTTATGCCCATCCTTATCATATATGTGCTACCTTTAGGACTATGATTATGATTACTTGGAGCCTAGTAGACGTCGCCCACGGTTGGATTATACTGATCCAACAGCTTCATTCCATGGAAACCATTATAGTGGTATGGATTTTATGCTCAGCATTCCTTTGTTTTTCCTCTCTTCTCCCGGGCTGTCCATATTGTTTACTTTTATGCCAGTTTACTCATTTAATTTGCTTTATCTTCTAGATACCTATGGAGCTGGCAGTAGTCTCTACTCGCATGATTATTATGGTCCTGAAGTAAGCAATTAATGCTTACGTGACTGTGACTTACTTTACATTTACATTAACATATGATGATGATATCAATTTCATTTTGCAGTATCATTCTGGTCCATATTCATCTTATTATGGGAGGAATCACTCATATAGAGGAGGCCACTACTTTTAGACTTGAGAACTTTTTGGTAATAGAAATGCTTTATGATTTTAAGTTATAATCTGTGATTGTGAATTCCGTATGCTAATGTTCTAATGGTTATTATTAATTGTGATCAGGTGGCCATGGATCTGCACGCAGGATGTAATTTATCAAAGATGGGCAAGTGGATTGCTGTTAGAAAGAAGTTGAATATTTCTTTCACCTCTCTGTCTTCATCCTACTTTTCCTCATTCTCCATCTATCTTCTTTACTTGTTAGTTGCCTGTGTAGTTAAATTTGGGTAGGATTTCCGAAGTTTTGATGTTTGTAGTTTAGGTAGTCTTTCAAGGACCCATGACTTAGAAACTTAGTAATTGTTTGTATGGCAGAGGTTGGAAAAGATTTACTCATCTTACCCTAGGAATGGACAACTCGATGAACTCTGTTATGGTTCTTTTGAAGCTAAGATGCTTGTTCAAGCCCTATCTATAAATAACGGCATGGGCCATTTGTTTGTTGATTACAGTTAATTTTGTGGTTTAGAGAAATCAAGTTCGGTGATTTGTTGGAGATAAAAGGTTTTCAGTTTAGGGTTTTTCCCTTTTCATGGAGATGGAAGGGATAAGAATAAACATGCTGATGGAGATGAACCTGAAGGTTTTTTTAATGGAGAGACAATATGCATGTATTATGGAGTTCTATTCGATCTAAATGAAATACTTGCATGATTATATGCTCAGAGGTTTTTCTATATTAGGGTAGGCTTCTATATGACATTCTCGTTTTTTGCTGATGGGTGAATGAGGTGGTGGTGTGTATGATGATATGTGGTCCTTTTTTCTTTATTGAAATGTAGCTCGGGTTCTCTACCTGTATTTGGCATGGATATAGTGCTTCATGAACATTGTTGCCATGTTTCATCAAACTGTTCTGCCAGAGGTCTAGTATAACTTAATGTTCAGTTTATCTTAGGGATAGATGCTGACGCCATTTGGAATAAAAAAATCAAGTAAATTTGTTTTGGTGTCTATCTGTGAGGAGCATAAGTGATTGATCAGGTCAAGTATGCCATATGGTGTCTAGTTATATTCAATTTCATAAAAGATTTATTTTGTGGGGGAACCCTGCGAGGAGCACAAGTGATTTATCAGGTTAGAGTTCATTGTTTCTCAGGTGACAACTAGTTATTGCTGAGTAGTTTTTAAGGTCCAACAATTGACTCTCTGTGATTCTCATCAAGATAATTTGGACTTTCAATGGTTGAATATTTTTGTTTTTCTCTGTAGTTCTAAGCTCTCTGTTGGCAAATGCTGGCCATTTATGATTTTTCTGAAAACTGAGGACAGGATACTGAATGTGTGTTATTTTGGTTCTCCATTGAAGGTACATTGTGTTTTGTCAGTCAGGTAGAAGCTCAGGATGTAATTCGTTTTAATGATCCGATACCTCTCAGTAGGGCCATATATTTTTAGGATCATTGTGATTGATTTAGCAAAATGTCGACCATTTATGACATTTCTGATAGAGGAGGAAAGGATCCTGAATCCACATTGTCCGCGTCTGTTCGTCAACAAAGGGATATTAGGTTAGGATGTAATTGGTCTTGACAAACTGAATACTTATCGGCAGAGGTTTATGCTATGACCGACCATTGTGATTGATTTGCCTTGCTTGTATTTACAAACCAAGTGTTCGACTGGTCAGCGTTCTTCCTTTTAAATTATCTGTTCATGCTGAACTGAGAGAATGAACATAGGATATACCCATGCCTCATTGCACGATGCATCCTCCGATTTTGATCCTTTTTAAGACGTAGCAGAGGCATGCATAACATAGGGAGTCTATTCCTAGATCATACACAGAGTTCCTAGTTTTGGGTTTATGTAGGCTACATAGTTTTTTTTTTCAATCGAGGAACACGGATAACGGCTGATGCTATATAAAAAGTCTGATGGGTATGATTTGTTTTTCTGTTGTGCACTTTCCTTCAGAGAATTGCCCCTTTTCTTTTCCCTCTTCATTTCTCTCTCCTTTCTTGTTTTGATTCTGAAGTTGTGCATGTTAAATTATGATCAGAATATTATAAAGTTCGTTTGTCTTGTCATTTAGCAAAACGTAGCTGTCATGTAAATCGCGTAAAAAAATAGTTGTCATGTAAAAACTTGAATGGCATATATATTTATAATTGTTGATTGGGATGTGAAAAATATCGGTGGACTTTGGGGTGCTCTGTCATACTTTTTTCACCATTGAAAATTCTAGAAGACAGTTACTTTGCATTAGACACAGGCAATTTCCCCAAAAATTGTAGGGTTCGGCGTGGGGCCCATTTTCGAATCTGATCCCCAAAGCGGATTGGGTGATTTCTGGGATTCAGAAAAACAAAAATTACAATTTTATATTGTAAAAGAAATACAATTAATTAACTCCATGATATTCTGCGAGCATTTTTACCATGTAAATCATGGGAAACAAATGTAATATTACTTTTTTCTTAAATAAAATACGAACATCACCAAAAATTTGAGCTATCAAGATAAGAATTTATCATGGAGGTTTCTGTTTTTATTTATTTTTCCTATTAATTTTAGTTGTTTTATTTAAAAGATAATTTCAATGGATAAGTGCCATCCCCACGTTTTCAATATCTCTGATTTTATATTTTCAATTTTAATTACAAAAAAGCTAAAATGACAAAACCAACAAAAACATATGTTTTTCTTTCTTCCCCTTATGAAAAAAGAGACTGTTAGTATTTCCTGCCTCAATATCCCCCTGAAATGCCAACCATTTTTCCTCCTTCAACCCACATTGGAACACACACCTTCTGTTCTTCAATCTTCTCAAAATTTCACTTCGAAATACAAACCACACCCGCAGAAAATCGCCGACAAGAACAAGAAGAAAACACAGACTCACACACTCTTTCCCACCAGAATCAAACTCGATAAGAAAACCAAAGCCACGCTGGAAATCCGACATCCCACTTTCTCTCCACGTGTACGTTCCAGATCTTTCATCTGCTCAACTTGTCAATCCGGAACACATCAAATCAACCAATCACAACCCAGAACGTCTTAGCCACAGATCCCTCCCTCCATATAAATACCAATAGGTTCAGTTTCTAGTGGCGTCAGTCTGTCAGTGCTAATTTTCTATTTTTAGAACAAAAAAACGTGATGTCGGCCACAGAAGAAGTTCAGGCTCCGGCCGTCGAGGCCCCGCCGGCGGTGGAGGCTCCAGCGACGGAGGAGCCCAAGAAAGAAGAAAAGCCGGTCAAAGAGAGAAAGACGAGAACCCCAAAGGAGAAGAAGCCTAAAGAGCCCAAAACCGCTGCTCATCCTCCATACTTTCAGGTACTTGATTTCGGGGTTTTCAGATCGCGGTTTCTTTCTTTTCCTAATTTCTGTTTCTGGGTTTTTCTTAAATATTTGTGAAATTTGTGCACAGATGATAAAGGAGGCACTGTTGGCTCTGAACGAGAAGAGCGGGTCGAGTCCGTACGCCATAGCCAAGTACATGGAGGAGAAGCACAAGGCGGTGCTTCCTTCCAACTTCAAGAAGACCCTGGCTCTGCAACTGAAGAACTCTGCCGCGAGAGGCAAGCTGATCAAGATCAGGGCCTCGTACAAGCTCTCCGAGGCAGGCAAGAAGGACCAAACCACAGGCAAAACCAAGGCTTCAACAAAACCCAAAACGGAGAAAAATACCAAAACGACCGCTCCTGCTCCGAAGGCGACTAAGAAGCCTGCGAAGAAGAACAAGAAGTCCACGGCTTCTAAGCCTAAGCAGCCCAAGTCCATCAAGAGCCCAGCTGCTAAGAAACCCAAGAAGGCTGTTGCTTGAAGTGAAACATGTGAAAAAGTTGTATAGAAGTTGAGAGCGATGATGAATTAGTAATAATTAAGTTGAAAGAAGTTGGGTTGTGTGTGTTGATGTTAGGAGTTAGCAGGTGCTAAGTTTTTGTTGTGAATATGTAATCTTATGTTGGAATGGAATGGAATGGAACTGACTTTGTGCTAATTTGCTGGGTTTGCTTCTCTCTCTCTCTAAACCCTTGGCATAACAGAACACAATCATCTCATAAGAGGTTCCGTTTGGTTGCAATGTTATGCTAGCTGGATCATAGATTTGGTTCATCTATGAAATCGGTATGCCAAATGGGTCCTCAGGAGAAAGCCAAATTGGTGTTGCCTTAGCAACTCATGCCACTGGTCTCTGCACCCTGTAAATTATGAAGCTGCTATTAGCTTGTAGAACTTTCCTATTTCTAAGTGTTTTCTCATAGGGAATTTCCAAACTTTATTTATGTCTTTACTTTTGGTCACAAGTTATCTATAACACAATAAGCACGAGCTTTTATGGGTCAGCATAGATGAACTTCTTCTCACTCTTAAAATAAGTAACTTCTAGTAGGTCCTAAATTAATTGCATGTCGAGAGCTCAATCTGAAAAAACCCTAGTTCCTCTCTCCCAAAACACTCCTAAAGCCGTTTTGACTTGAGGGGAGGAAATCACTGTTCTTCCTTTCCTCTCCCCTCTCCTCTCCTCTTCTTCCCTCTCTTCTTCTCTCATTTTCATAGACAAATTGTTTTCCCTGTTTGTCTTCATTTTATGATTTTTCCTCTAACTATCACAGGCGGCTGCATCTTGGTGTCGAATCTTCACCTGCATTTCGGCGTCAGATCTCCACTATCATCTCTTTTGCGGTTTCGTTATGTTTGGAATAAGTCACAGAGACTCTTTGGGTTCTCTGTATAGTTTTCACCTCTTATTTTATGAGAGCTTTTTACATCTCCTTTGTGAGAGCTTTTCACATTTCATTTGTAAGAGCTTTTCATCTCTCCTTTGAGAGAGTTTTATTTGTATTGTTATGGTTTGTTTTTTCAAGCTTGATCTCTTTTTGATTATTATGAGTTTGCAATCTTAGATGGGATGCCTATGCCATAATTTCTTCGATCCTGCGTGATCGTTAGTGGAGGTGCACTAGATTGTCTTAATTTTGATATTAAACCTCTCCGTTATTGTAATGGCCCTTTGTGACTAATGACTAGTGACTTTTTTAGTTGAATTATGAATGTAATCTTATAATTCCTAAATAAAAAAAAGAGGTTTGTCCTAAATTTGCATTCTTAGAATCAAAGTTGAATGCATGGGTTAGCTGCAATGAGTTAAAGCCTAGTCCACATTCCTTACATTGTAAAACTAAGCCCATCAATCATTTCCACCCTGCTCACAACCAACCTCTCCAACCTCTTCACATGATTTGGAGCCCAAATGTAAAAGATTTTTGTTAGCATATACAATCACAATGGATAAGCTACAAAGGATATAAAGCATAGCAGGGAGTGGCAAACAGTACGAATCACTTTTTCCATCACCATGTTGAATCATTTTGAGAAAAAGTCTGGCTACTCAATAAAAATTGATCTAACACCGGCTGCAAATGCTTTCCTGGCATTAATTCTGGCTGGTTTTACCCAATTAGATAACTAGGATTGCTACTTTTTTTGGCCGTAGTCTATGCTCTACGTAGGTTTCCATAGTCAAGTACTAGGGTTCGGTTGACGGGCACGCAATCCTGTTGAACGGTGAGGATGTAACTAGAAAATCAAAGAATAAAAATTAATTAATGTGTTGTGACTAGTCAAAACAAATCTCAAAAAAAATAAAATTGATCTCAATTCATGTGATAATGTTTCTTTTGTTTTCAAATTAGAAAAGTTATATCGTCAGTGTGAATGAAACATCATAAGACGAGAATGTAGTCATTTCACGTCGTTTGACTAATTAGAATATAAGATAAAATCATATGTCCATTTCACATTGAATTGAAATGTTCATTCTCTTTTTTTTTTTTGGAACGAATCTGATTTCATTAGAAACCCCAAAAGGAGCAGAAACAAAACAACAAAGCTTAAAACGATGCAACATATACAGAAGCAACTAAAGCTCAAAGGCAAGGCTAGACAGAGAGCTCCTACCTAGACCGGACAAAAGCCATACATTAACGTGGAGGGGATATCGATGGTAGGCCATCAGAAACCAGGTACATGGTGCTACTCAATTTGGTTTGTGAAATATTATATCGACATGGCATCTCTCTGTGATGAATTTGGAATATATTCTCATTGGTGCTACTCAATTTGGTTTGTGAAATATTATATCGACATGGCATCTCTCTGTGATGAATTTGGAATATGATCATCCCAACCCAATTGATTGTTATATTCACAAGGCTGGCTTGCATTTGCTGGTGGTGCCATCATAATTCATAGGTATCATTGTTGTCCAAAAGGCAGCTTGTTTTTGGTCAACCACTATACTATAATTGCTTTTATCTTCATCCATCATCTTTCTCACCCTCTGTCTCTTCCACTTTCAAAAGCTAGCTAGCTTAGCGCTATAGCTTAAGACCACTTTCTGGCCATAAGCAACTTAATCAGCTGATTAATTAGCATATAATATGTGCTTTTGGCTTTTGGCTTTTGGCTTTTGGAAAATGGAGATTATTATTTATATATTCAAGAAGAATCAACATGGTTTTCACTGCACTCATTTGATGGAACGTGGTGGATGTTTCCAACAGCTCACGGTCATGGGGCTGCTCTGAATGTCACATTTCTGCAACGGGGTCGGCAAAAGGTAACCATTTTTGCTATAAACTACATAGTAAATTGGAAACCCAATATGCCACGTGGCTCAAATCGGTGAAGCAAATCATGTTTCAACTGGATTTAGAAGTAACTCATCATGATTAGGAGGCCCTATCTTGTACAACTCACTTGGCGTTGTCAAATACTGGTTGAACGGTTGCAGACAAACACTATATAAAATTATCTCTCAGAGGACAACAACAGGATAAGGTTTGGAGTTGTTCCAAAAGGGCTTTTAGGGTTTTATTCAAGTCAGTGATAGTTATACTTTATAGTTCAATAAAGAAAAACACTAAAAAATTTAAGACAATGTGGCGTAAGAAACACTCTATTGAACGCATTGGCATCATATACGTACTATTTTGACAAACTATTAGCGCTCAAAAGATTCTAATCGAACTCAAGTACGAGAGATGAATACACAGTACACTACCATGTCTAACTGGCGTAACAAACACATCTGCTAAAGAATTTAATTTAATTATATGAATAACTTTCTGGATAATCAAATCATTCCTAATTAGATCGCATAATAATTAATATTTACATGCTAAAATTTGGCATGTTTCTAGTGGCCATTGCACCAAACTTTGTGGAAAGGTGCTTTTATGCATAAGGTGCATCTGGATCCCACACATAAAAACCTGTTATCCGAAGTGAAATTAATTGGCCCCTTTCTCACAAGATTTGGTGCAATTGCCGGCTAACACACATGATGCGATTGATCATGAACCGCGTTAACACATTTGACCTTAATTTTTGTAGCCCGGCGTTAATAATTTGAGTGCAACATGTAGACAGTGGATCATGCTTGTAAAGTTTTCCGGTTTAATGCCTTTACAAATTACATTGATTGACGATTAATTAGCTATAGTTAAAAGTGAAACACATTTTTGCTCTAGTCCCATTAATTACATGCAAAAGAGAAAAGCACTTGCTTCTAATTATGCACGACACTAAGGTCAAGCTGAAGTTTATTAGACTAGGTCCACACATTAGTGAGAATGACTTGTTTAAGTGAGTAGGGTCGACTATGTTAAGGAAAATATTATTGTCTCGTTCGTTTGAGAGTACCTAGGAATTCTTACTTTCATATACTAATCACAATTTGATATGTGTGCAGAAATCAAACATATTATCCTTGTGTTAATACACGCTTGGATAATATGTGTGTGACACGTATGACTAGTTAGATAATTTCTGATGTGACAAAATTCAAATACTTCAAAAATGGTCCACATTGCATGAAAAAGCCACGTCACAAAGTTTGATTAATTTGTTCGACCAACCTCTAATATATTTAATGCCATTGGGTTGTCGTCCAATATCGAAAAGTGTTTGTTTGAATCTTCTTCATAAATTGGTAGGGTGTCGGTGTGGCTATATAAATATTCTCCACTTAAATAGAAGTATTTAGGAATTCTTCAAATAATTTTATTTAAGACACACCCGAATTTATATATATATATATATATGAGAGGCGAGCAATCGCTGTGCATGTGAAGGGAAGCTGAAAAAACAAAAACTGAATGAGGACAAAGCATGCCCAGCAGGTACCACGTTGCACAGCGCATGCTGGACAGTGAACAAGCCTTTTGGGACCCACCAAACCCACACCCGAGCGTCTCTCTCCAAGTGAGATGCCTGCCGCCATGCTTACCATGCTCACCATATATTAATCTTAATTAAGCTCTCTCCAATTAATACTCATAAATATATCTACGTGTGTTTTTTTTATATATTTATGATTACTAATACTACTTATTAATTTCCCAATTTCAATTGTTTAACGAGTTTTCACCCAAATAATGACTGACTGCATGTTTCGAACTGAAAATTCGTTTACATTTTTAAAAGAAAAAAAACGTACGTACATTTTGCTGGGATTTGAAACATATTTTCATTGCTATCATCACTGAGATGCTTACAATCTCATGCGTCGACGACACTCAACAAATGGAGTATTTTGTGAAACACACACACATACATATATATATATATATATATATATGAACATAAAATCTTTGTTTTGTTATAATAATATCAGACACATTATCGATAATAAGCGATAGTCTAAACTATAAAGAGGAGGAAAGTACGATCCATTACATAACCACACTACATATGCATGAAATATGACAATATGATATGTATACTATATGTAAATGTGAAAGAAATTAACAATGATCAAATTAAGATTTCATTTACAAAGAAGGTATGGAGAAATAAATAATTAATAATATATAAATACGGTTGACGGGAGATTTGAATATGTTCGCTTTTATTTTGGTTGACATTTGAGTTTCGTGACCAGATAATATATTGGTGTACAAATCATAACAAGACAGTAATTTGAGTGGAGTGGTTTGGAAATAATGTTCAGCAATTTGAATTGATGAGTTGAGATCTCAATGAGCCAATTTTCTTGTATGTCGTGGACTAATTTTGTTGGTATAATATCTTGATATACGTTTTGGTATATAAGCATATTGTACATTTGCTCGGATTCAAGTCTGTATTCGTGCATAATCCAATCGGTCTTCTGTCCATTTGGAGCCCTTCCTTTGTAGAAAACAAGGGTTTTCCTCATCCCAATCAGTTTTGTCTTGTCGTATACTGATTTGTCTCGACCCGTTGCTTTCCAAAACCCAGCCATGGTGGCTCTGTTGGTCCTTGTCCCAGTCGGATACTTCTTGTCTTTGTGGCTGAAGAAGTACCACTCGTTCTGCTCTTCATACCCGATCCGGCATCTCTCTGCCCATTCATGTCAATCAATCAATCAATCGGATCAAGATTCATGTTAATTATACAAACCAAATACTATATTAACTAGATATTTAAAAAAAATCGATCCAATAATGTACCAGTATCGTAGATTGATACCCTTATTACCGTATTAGATGTACATGTGCTAGAAGAATATGTTCAACCCAATAATGCAACTATTTATGTTGGTATATAAGATAAATTATTGATAGAAACGAACCCAAAAGAAATAAAAATAAAAATAAAACAAAGATTAAGTGATTAACAAACACATACGCATCCATATATTTCATGAGCAAGCATAAACCCTAGGGAATAATTAAGCATGATGGATCCAGCTGAAGAAATGCTCCTTATATATAATTAGTACATACCTTGAAGGTCCCATGGTTCGATTCTGTAGAGATCAATGTCTCTGATGACATCAAGATCGATCTTCTGGGAGGCAACTTTCTTCCTGAGATAGTAGCCGACGAGCTCTTCATCAGTTGGATGAAATCGGAAACCTGGTGGGACAGTGGACTCGATTGACTCCATCATGGCGCAGCTGGTTGGTTTGCTTGTGGTGCCCTTGCTTGTACTGCATCAAATTCATCAACACACCCCCATTAGTGCCCACCACCACACCAACTTATATATACAGAGAAAATGAAAACTTGGGAAGAAAAAAAAAGGAAGAAAGGTGAAAAAAGGCAGTAGATAACATTAAAATGTTAAAAAGTAGAAGAAAAAAAGGGAAAATTAAAATTAAGAATATTGTAAGTTAAAAGGAATAATGAAGAGCCTATACATGATGAATTAAAAAGGTGACAAGTGTTATCAGAGATAATCATCAGCTCATTTGGTGGTGAGCAACCCCCACCATCACCATTTTTGGTTTTATATAGGAGAGGGAACTATAATAAGCGCGTGGGACTTAATTATATATATCTCCTAGGTCCACACATTAGTGAGAATGACTTGTTTAAGTGAGTAGGGTCGACTATGTTAAGGAAAATATTATTGTCTCGTTCGTTTGAGAGTACCTAGGAATTCTTACTTTCATATACTAATCACAATTTGATATGTGTGCAGAAATCAAACATATTATCCTTGTGTTAATACACGCTTGGATAATATGTGTGTGACACGTATGACTAGTTAGATAATTTCTGATGTGACAAAATTCAAATACTTCAAAAATGGTCCACATTGCATGAAAAAGCCACGTCACAAAGTTTGATTAATTTGTTCGACCAACCTCTAATATATTTAATGCCATTGGGTTGTCGTCCAATATCGAAAAGTGTTTGTTTGAATCTTCTTCATAAATTGGTAGGGTGTCGGTGTGGCTATATAAATATTCTCCACTTAAATAGAAGTATTTAGGAATTCTTCAAATAATTATATGAGAGGCGAGCAATCGCTGTGCATGTGAAGGGGAGCTGAAAAAACAAAAACTGAATGAGGACAAAGCATGCCCAGCAGGTACCACGTTGCACAGCGCATGCTGGACAGTGAACAAGCCTTTTGGGACCCACAGAGACTAATCAGAGACAATTAATAAGTAATTAATTAAATTAATTACTTTTTGTCCCAAGGGTGAAATAAGGAATAGAACAAGAGAATCATGAGAGTTTGGTTTTGATAAAAACTAAGAGGAAATTGGAGCTTGCTAATTTGTGCAGACGGGGGGGAAGAGGGACTCAAGAAACGGACAACCAGAGGTTTGTGCTAATGATGTTGTCTTGTGTTGGTGAATGGTGGAAATGATGCATCAAGAACGGGGTTTCTATTTTAATACAATTATTTATTTATAATAATTAACTACTAGTAAAGTAGACTCATTGTATTTTATATATTATGGGGAAAAAAATGAATACAAGGGTTGAAATTGAGAATTACAAAGGGAGATCAGTCAGGGGTGGATGACGTGATCACAGAATAAGCATGCGTTTGTCTCGAAAGAGGAAAGGGTTTTTGGAAGCAAAAAGATGGAAGACGACAGCGTTTGATTGGATCAAGCCTGCTAAGAGAAAAGGATAAGAAAGAAAAAGAGAAAAACAACTGTGCTCTCTCTCTCTCTGCAAAGACGGGGGGCACTGAACTACTTGTCTGCTTGTCGAGAATTTCAATGGCACAAATCTGACCTCTCTTTTTCTTTGCTAGCTAGAGTACTGCTGCGTGCCATACAAAAGAAGAAGAACAAACAAACAAACAAACATGCATGCATTTAAACCATCATATCATCAAACTCATCCTAATTTAGCTAATCCATGTGTTTAATTAATCTCCAGGTTTTTTCTTTCTCTTGTCTGGGAAATTATAATGACAAACAGTTTGTGACAGGATATATATATATATATATATTTGGGATGCAAAATATATGCAGGTGGATGAGAGGGAGAGAGACCTTGTGTTGCATATATAGCTCCTCCATCGTCGTCTTAATTACCAAGAACAGACACAGAAGATCAGATTTGTTCCTTAAACTAAAGTATGGAACTTTGTGTCTCTGTGTGTGGAAGAGAGAGAGAGAGAGAGAGAGAAATACACTCACAACCATATTTTTACAAAAATATATGTCTCAGGGCTCGATTCAATCGACCCTTATAACATTTATAATACCTACTTACCAATAAAAATTAATTAGCTTCCTCCATTATTGCAGTACGTCTTAATTATTTTTCAAATATGCATATCCCAATATCACCATCAGGACTGGAATTTAGGAACCCATTCAACTTGTTCCCCTGGTCATCATCCCTACCACTACTCTGCAATAACAACAATGCCATCTCTGAATCATCATGTGCCCCAAAGCTCGACTCTCCATCACCTTCATATCTCTCTTCCTGACTCAACTGAGATGCCACAAACTTGTCCAAGGCCCTCCAGTCAGTCACCTTCTTGGGCTCGTCTTCCACTTCAGTATTGTTCTCCGATATCAGAGACATTGAGCTCGGCCTCTTTGATATCAATGGCAGAGATGGGCTCTCTAGCTGAGGCAGCTGCACAAAATGATCAGAGTGCATGAAGTTCAAACTGTCAGCTTCTGTCTCTTGCTTGCACATGAAATTCTGGGCTAAAAAGCTTGGAGGCTGCCTCGAGATCATATATTCTGTTGGATCAACGACAGAACTGACACCGTTGAGTTCGTCGTAGAAGTAGCTTGAGTCCCACCCTTCAATGCCTTTGTTTTGGCTACTGGTTCTCTTCTTGAATGCTCTGCATACCACCCATCCTTCTTCCTGAAATAAATAAATTAAATTACTTTCCATTTTGTTTTTCTAATCATGTTGTTGTGGAAAAGAGGTTGGGAATGTTTCTTGAGGGGAAAAGTGAATGTTTTTCCTTTTGACCTTTGTACATAGACATGCATTTTCTTTAAGTAGCTTTTGGAGTTTTCTTTCTGTTTGGTAAAGAGAGTCGTAGCTTGATGTCAATCTAAAGGCCATGCAACAGAAATGGAACTTTGCTTTTTGACAAACTCAAGGAGGAGAAAGCCACACCAGAAAATGAATGGGCAGAAAGCAAATTAATACATGCTTTTAAAAGCTTTAACTTTTGACTTTCATGTGTTGGTGGGAGTGAGACTGCACATATATATATTAGTGGTCTACGACTTACGCATGCAAATTACATGAGATGGTTCCATTGCCTTTTATAAAACTACAGTACTCACACAATATTAAGTTTCTCTTTTTTTTAAACCATGTTTGTGAGAGGCTACTATCTGATGTTGTACGCTCGAGCATGGAGAGAGAGAAAGTGTTGCCATAAACCTTTTTGTTTAGCAAGTGATGGTAACTGATGCCAAACTCCAATCTATAAGAAATTCTGAATCAGCTATAGCCTACGTATATTAGGTCAACAAGTGCTGTTTCAAACCCATGCCATGTTGACCATAGCTTCTCTCTACCGTTAATATACTCAGTGCCGGTTTGTGTGTGTGTGTGTGTGAGAGAGAGAGAGAGAGAGAGAGAGAGAGAAGATGAGATTACTTGCCTGTGGAGGTCCATTCTCCTCGGATTCAAGTCTGTATTCGTGCATAATCCAATCGGTCTTCTGTCCATTTGGAGCCCTTCCTTTGTAGAAAACAAGGGTTTTCCTCATCCCAATCAGTTTTGTCTTGTCGTATACTGATTTGTCTCGACCCGTTGCTTTCCAAAACCCAGCCATGGTGGCTCTGTTGGTCCTTGTCCCAGTCGGATACTTCTTGTCTTTGTGGCTGAAGAAGTACCACTCGTTCTGCTCTTCATACCCGATCCGGCATCTCTCTGCCCATTCATGTCAATCAATCAATCAATCGGATCAAGATTCATGTTAATTATACAAACCAAATACTATATTAACTAGATATTTAAAAAAAATCGATCCAATAATGTACCAGTATCGTAGATTGATACCCTTATTACCGTATTAGATGTACATGTGCTAGAAGAATATGTTCAACCCAATAATGCAACTATTTATGTTGGTATATAAGATAAATTATTGATAGAAACGAACCCAAAAGAAATAAAAATAAAAATAAAACAAAGATTAAGTGATTAACAAACACATACGCATCCATATATTTCATGAGCAAGCATAAACCCTAGGGAATAATTAAGCATGATGGATCCAGCTGAAGAAATGCTCCTTATATATAATTAGTACATACCTTGAAGGTCCCATGGTTCGATTCTGTAGAGATCAATGTCTCTGATGACATCAAGATCGATCTTCTGGGAGGCAACTTTCTTCCTGAGATAGTAGCCGACGAGCTCTTCATCAGTTGGATGAAATCGGAAACCTGGTGGGACAGTGGACTCGATTGACTCCATCATGGCGCAGCTGGTTGGTTTGCTTGTGGTGCCCTTGCTTGTACTGCATCAAATTCATCAACACACCCCCATTAGTGCCCACCACCACACCAACTTATATATACAGAGAAAATGAAAACTTGGGAAGAAAAAAAAAGGAAGAAAGGTGAAAAAAGGCAGTAGATAACATTAAAATGTTAAAAAGTAGAAGAAAAAAAGGGAAAATTAAAATTAAGAATATTGTAAGTTAAAAGGAATAATGAAGAGCCTATACATGATGAATTAAAAAGGTGACAAGTGTTATCAGAGATAATCATCAGCTCATTTGGTGGTGAGCAACCCCCACCATCACCATTTTTGGTTTTATATAGGAGAGGGAACTATAATAAGCGCGTGGGACTTAATTATATATATCTCTCTCTCAGAGACTAATCAGAGACAATTAATAAGTAATTAATTAAATTAATTACTTTTTGTCCCAAGGGTGAAATAAGGAATAGAACAAGAGAATCATGAGAGTTTGGTTTTGATAAAAACTAAGAGGAAATTGGAGCTTGCTAATTTGTGCAGACGGGGGGGAAGAGGGACTCAAGAAACGGACAACCAGAGGTTTGTGCTAATGATGTTGTCTTGTGTTGGTGAATGGTGGAAATGATGCATCAAGAACGGGGTTTCTATTTTAATACAATTATTTATTTATAATAATTAACTACTAGTAAAGTAGACTCATTGTATTTTATATATTATGGGGAAAAAAATGAATACAAGGGTTGAAATTGAGAATTACAAAGGGAGATCAGTCAGGGGTGGATGACGTGATCACAGAATAAGCATGCGTTTGTCTCGAAAGAGGAAAGGGTTTTTGGAAGCAAAAAGATGGAAGACGACAGCGTTTGATTGGATCAAGCCTGCTAAGAGAAAAGGATAAGAAAGAAAAAGAGAAAAACAACTGTGCTCTCTCTCTCTCTGCAAAGACGGGGGGCACTGAACTACTTGTCTGCTTGTCGAGAATTTCAATGGCACAAATCTGACCTCTCTTTTTCTTTGCTAGCTAGAGTACTGCTGCGTGCCATACAAAAGAAGAAGAACAAACAAACAAACAAACATGCATGCATTTAAACCATCATATCATCAAACTCATCCTAATTTAGCTAATCCATGTGTTTAATTAATCTCCAGGTTTTTTCTTTCTCTTGTCTGGGAAATTATAATGACAAACAGTTTGTGACAGGATATATATATATATATATATTTGGGATGCAAAATATATGCAGGTGGATGAGAGGGAGAGAGACCTTGTGTTGCATATATAGCTCCTCCATCGTCGTCTTAATTACCAAGAACAGACACAGAAGATCAGATTTGTTCCTTAAACTAAAGTATTATATTAGCTAGTTTGGTGGGAATGAATGACTAATGAGACGTGTTTTTCTATGGTAAGGAATTTTCCATGCAAACATAAAAACAACTTAATTTGATTAAATAGTTAATTAAAAATTACCTGATCAACGGCGTTGGTGTAATTACTCGTTAAAGACAGAAAGCAATGAAGAAGAAGAAGACAAACTGAAGACGAACAACAACAACCACAGAAGAAAATGAGACGAAATTGAAGAGATAGAGTTAAGAAAATTCCGTTAAGAGGGAGAGAGATGAAGAGAATATAAAAGGGAAGGAAGGAAGGAGAGCTAAGACAAGAGAGAGGGAGGACCGCTCGATTGCGCATGGGTTGATGGTTGTCCCCAGCAGCTGACGTCACTCTCACTCCCCCATAGCTTCCTACAGAAACTCCCTTTTTCTTCTTTGCTTTCCGTCCATTTTCTCTTCTCACCATCACCGTATATAATATTTTATTTACAACTTTCTTGCTTTCTTTCTTTCTTTCCAAGTTTAAAAAGGGAACTTCCTTTGTTCAATTTCTTCTAGATATTATCAACTTTTTTTATATTCTTCTTTTACAATATTTTTAGGACATCTTCAAGTTTAAACTACCCTTTTTTCTTTTTGTTTAAGTTTTTAATTTTTATTTTATTTTTATACAAGAGATATTGGAGAAGGAGGGAGAAGGAGGAAATCGAATATAAGACCTTAAATCCAATAATAAATGCTCTTAATCAACTGAACTACGAGTCCCTTACTTTATATATATGCTAACCCACATATTAATGTCACATATATAAAGCGCACCATTGTGGAACAACAAGTTGTTCGATTGAAACAAATGATCAAGAAAATTTCTTTTGAAAGAAAAAGAAAAAGAGTACCTCTATTAGTAGTATGGAGTAATTCTCCTTGTAAGGGCATGATCGCATATATTGCCCATTACTCCATCATCATAATGCTTTTGGAGACTTGTTAAAATCAGAATTAAGCGAGTTTCATTAGGATCACTTTCTGATGTTTACGAACTTTCATTCAAAAATTAATGTCTGCGGCAAGTTCTAACTCGTTTCCATTCAGCAAATCTCCAAAATGCTTTTTATTTCCTAGGGAAAGTCTCAACAAAATTGTATGAATCAATTAGGGCTCTTTTGAGAGAGAGGATGAGAGAGAGGAGTAACAAAAGTGAAAACTAAATCTTGAAAGTGAAAACAATTTAAAATGGATTTCAGTTTTTAGTTTTAGTTTTCACTTTTGTTACTCCTCCCTCCCATCCTCTCCTCTCATCTTCCCCCTCAATCCCATCACTTCCATTCTCCCTCTTTTTCCTCTATACTCAAGCACAAAAAATGAAAAAAAAAAAAATTGAAATTGAAATGGTTATCAAATGGGCTCTTAAATTCTCGGTAGTTCAATTTTTACACTTAAACAATATGATTGGATGAGTACTAAGTTGGTACCAAATAATAAACTTACTAGTCACTAGTGAGGTGCAATAATCATTGCTATTAATTAATTTGGTTGCAAAAGAATTCATGATCATGGAGTTTTGGTGTTGTTGCTATCCCGATTTGCCGTGACTACTATCTTCCTCCACATATATGGACCCCAAAACTGAAAGCTTCATGTTATCTTTCCATTCCTTTCCTTCTTCTTCTTCAACTTCTCGTCAAAAATCCTTTGAAAAAAAAAAAAAGAATTATCTCCAATTAATATTATGTGTAGTAGTCGCTTTCTTTTTCAAACATTCTTCTGACTGACACACCTGCCACGTCGGCACTGAAATTACGACCTCGTGCCACATGTTGCCGCCAAATACCCCAGTTCGGCTCGGCTCGCGCAGCTCACATGGCTTCTTGGTTATGCTAGCTAGCTGCATGCCAGTTTACCAAAAACTCCTCCAGGCTCCGGTGTGAATAGTATTGGAAGGGCGTTTTGGTCATTTAAGAGGTCCAAGCACTTCCGTTTAGGGCCTGGAAATGATTTGATTTCTTTGTGGACAAGTATTTTGGAGAAAGAAGGAAGGAAGGAGTATAAAAAGACAGGGAAAACGTATAGTGAGGAGAACAATCGAAGCAAACCACCGCGTGACACAATCTGTGGTTTTTTAGGTTTTTTTTTTAGGGTACAACTTTACGTAGAAGATAAACAAAGCAAAGCAAACAGTAGAAATAAATATTTCCTAAAGACTATAAAGACTAGATTCTTTTTTCTTTTTTTTTGGTCTGAACCACGAGGTGGTCCTAGATGGGCACCTTTAAGCCTTAACCACAATCCAGACTAATCTCTGCTCACACCGGGTCGGCCCGTAAGGGGTAAAGTGTTGGCCAAAGTGGTGACTCCATACGAGAGCAGGGATCGAACTCCTGAAGACTAGATTTTTTTTGATTTACCAGGACCCCACCTCCATTGGGTCAAATACCATTTTACAAGTGATATTCTATTTTAATATAATCTAAACTGCACGTAAGAGAGATTTTCGAGTGCAGAATGGGGAACACATCCGCTCTAACCAACTTAGCATAGTCTTTAATAATAATAAAATAAATTTCACGGTGTTTGATCAATAGTATCATATATAATATATTTGGTGGATTTCGCAGATAATAATATTCAAACAAGAGGGAATTTGAGTGAGTGAGTTCTAGAAGATGATCAGTGGAACAAACTAGCTAGTACGTGGTTCCATCTGCATGCTCGTTAATTTCTTGACGGATGGATGGATCGATATGTTAAGTATTAGTAACTATCATGACAAGAACTAATCATGGCAATCTTAGTATATATGTTATATATGTAGTATTCGTATCTTTTGTACGAGATTCCTGAATGGACTACTTTCTGCCAACAAACAGATATTTCTTTTTTCTGATACCAAGTCACAATCTTATCCCACTTAATCCATTTAATTATTATGCCTAAACGTTTTAAAGATGTGATTATAACTAGACGGTTTTGATATATATACATCTTGATCAGCTTTGTATGAATAATTAAAGGGAAAAGCTTGCTTTGCTGCATGTCATTTTCCATGGAAGAACAAATAATAACAAAGAAAGAACGTACGATTTGAAATGATGTTGGTTGAGCAAGAGATGAAACCGGCCACACATAAGGAAATCATTTTGTGATGAAATGGGAGTACTTCGTGTGCCTACGGTAATTTCTGGTTACGGAAACAAACCTTGAGAAAATAAAAAAAATACGGTATTAAACAAGATAAATTGGAATGAATTAAGGTGAATTATCATTTTGTGCCGTCGACTATGTATAAGTTGTGTAAGTATAGGTTTGTTTTTTGTGAAATTGATAAAAGTTGATTTTGATATAATAAAGTTTTGTAGGCCAATGTTGATTGAGGATCTCGTGTTATGAGAAACTTACATAAATAATAATAAGACTAGCTTTCTTCTTCCCGTAATATTGGACCCAGAAATGAGAAAAGACTTGTGCAATTCAATGCATTTCACATTTTAATTTGGTGCAAAACGACAGAGTTTCTATGATGTGAAATCGGACCAACTTGATGTCAAGCAACATTACATGCAATGAGAGGCCACATGGCGGGGAGATCTGTTTGTGTTGAAAATTATAGACTTTTTACTCAAAAATCATGAGTAATTTTTGGAACAAACTTGATGCACGTGTGATCCAATGAGGCTAAATTTGGATAGAAATCATTAAGCCTTTCTCTTTTTTTATGTAATTTGATGCATTAGGGAAGGTGAGATTTCAAACTTCGATCTGATTTTACTTTTGTTAACACAAAAATTACTTTTGCTAAAAGAGAGAAGATGTCGGCAATACATAGTGAGATTCTAATCCTATCCTTGTTTTGACCAATACATAATTAATGCTACAATTTCTCGCCATCTTAGTGTGATTGTCACAACGTCACATACTGTTATTAATTTATTTATGTTATTATACGTGTATTTATTTATTATCATTATAGATAAGTAAGGAGGAATGAGATTCTTGTCCTGATTCGGTCTGACAAACATGCCAATAGCTTAACATTTTTTTATTTATATAAGCGATATTAAATACATACGTAAATATACTCTTAACCAATTAAACTACTAACTCCTTCCAACATTTCAAATCAAACATCTAATTTTGTAGTCCAAGACAAGGATGTAAATTGCAGGGTGAGCCCAACTTTGAACATTGATTGACTGATCTGACGCATGGAAAAGGTAGCAAACTTGTTTGGGGATGGCAGAGGGTAAGTTTGTAACTATAATAGAAAGGGAGTGGCAGTTACGGAAACTAAAAATACGAAGGGCAAGCTATGAAGCTGTCAAGCTGTGGCTCGTGAGTGGAGGATAGCAAACGGTGATATAGACGTGCAGTCCACGTAGGACGGTGATGGTCGGCCGTGGTCTCTCCAATCATGCGGCGGACCGCATCATTGAGCTTATGAGACTCACTGTGGTCCCCACCATAAATTTGCCTTTCCTCTTCTAACCCTCTTCTTCATAGGGCTATCTTGGGGCGGTGAGCCAAACAATCACCAATCTTTTTCTCTTTTAATATGCGTAATTTGCGAGTGATTGCATAGAACTGAATTGTAGATACGTTAAAAAAAAAGATACAATTTCTTTTAATCCTTTATAAACTAAGTAAAATGCTTCATCACTGAAAACTATAAGCGTGTGTTTTTTTAATCCAAAAGTTTGTAACAAACAAAATGAAATAGATATGTGGAGAAATTGATATTGTTAGGGTTAGCGTAAGCAGCAAAAGGAGATCCTTGGGGGGGGTCCTATTAGGATCTTATAGCCCTTTTTGACATCGACCACCCTCCAAACTCTCTCTCTCAAATCTCAATCTCAGAATTACACCCTACCCTTTACAAATTATGTTACGGAAATTATGTCTTCTTTTTGAAATATGGTTTTCATGGTGGTTGGTGAAGAGAAAATGACCGTGAATTTTCTCAATTATTAATTTGTAAGTAGTTATATATAGAGAGAGCTTTCGTTGAGGGATACCCTTATAGGGTCCATTCCTCATTGTATTTTACTAATTCAAACCGTCTATTTTGTAGATATTTATTAAAAGATTATCTCTACAAAAAATCACTTGAATTCGATATCATTTGACCACTCAATTAAATTATTGAAACTTAAGTATTTTCTTGAAGCACCGTATTTTTTGATTTTTTTGGTGTGAATTAGATGCCTTAATGATTTTCAATTTGCTTAGTTTTTTGCAAGAATGATCTATGAATGGAGACTTAAAAAATAGATGGTTTGAATGTTTGAATAAGATTCGTAAAGAATTCTAAAGGGAGTCATTTGAGGGTCTATGTATAACTAGACCCTTGAACATCTGTCTTTATTGTAAGGTGTGAAACACAAGCTTCTAGCAGGGACATGGATGATCATTGCACTTCTTGTAGCTTC